AATGAGTCAGAGGCAAAAACTACTGACTCGTGCGCTGAGCTGTGTTGGTTCGGATCGAAGAATAGGTGTCTTTTAAGTTCGTTTTATAGCTGGTACAACGGTGTATCGGATAATCCTTATTTATTATATTAATTTAATCTTTTTTTCTTTAATATTAATTTTAGATTAATTTTATTTATTAAATAAATCTTAATTTAATAACTTTTTTTGTTTTAAAATTGAATTTAAATGACAAAACATGCNGTCTGTACATCTGTCTTTATTTCCAGGCAGATATATTAATTTTATTTTTGTAAATACAGTAGAATATCACATCCGTTATTTTAAATAAAGTGTTTTTATTTACAATTTTATGTATTTACAATTAGTATTTCTCAGTTACTGCTGCCATAATGAAACAATTCATGAAATCTTTAAATTAAAAAGCACTCTTTTTATTGCTTAACTATTATAGTATTGACCATTTTATTTCAGTAACAGACTTTTTGTTATTGGATGAAGTTAGTTCTTTAGCTTAACTTTGCAAATCTACTACAGTACAGAACCCGTTATCCGGAAATCAGAAAACCGGAAAACCAAAAAACCGGAACGAAATTCGAGAAATTTTCCCGCCATTTTTTTTGAAAGATATTTTTTTTCCTCATAAGATTTTAGGATTTTTCTTTCTTTTTTGAAGGATGTTTACCTTACATCACTTTGGTAATAATCATTAGTGTATTACTTCATCGTTTTTTCCTCTTTTTAAGATTATTTCCATAATTTTTTTTTTTAGTTGGGTTTAACAATAAAAAAAACGGCTTTTTGTAGTGATTCAGAAAACCGGAAAAATCAGTTATCCGGAATAGCGATGGTCCCGATCGTTCCGGATAATCGGTTCCCTACTGTACTTGCAAATTTTGCCACACGAAACTGTATTGATGGCGCTGGCATAGCTACTGACTTTGAAACACAAATAACTACAAACAGTAATTTCGTATACTAACGTGTTTGTGCAAGCTTAAGATTGATATTTGTTGCGTTGATATTTGTTGAGTTTTAGAAGATATATATATGCTATGTATAAAGATCTGCTCTTACCGAATTTCATCACTGAAGCTACAGCGTGGTACGAAATGTGGTGGAATAGAGAAAATTCTTATGAATCCCTCAAATACGTCGATTTAGTTATTGAGGCCACACCATTTTATCCAGCTGTAGCGGAGGCAATCAAAATTGACCTAACTCTTCCAGCTACTATGTGCACTGTTGAACGCACTTTTAGTACAATGCGACACATCAAAGCATGGAATCGGTCTACAATGTCTCACATGAGATTAAGTAGTTTATGCATGCTTAGTGTGCATAAGAAAAGAGTCAAAGATGACTCAGAATTAATTAAAAAAGTTATAAACAGATTAGGACAGCAAGCAAGAAGATTACAATTCTTGTTTGATTAAACTATTTTTTAATTGTTATGTATCAATAATTACTTAATTATTTGTTTTTGAATAAAAATATTTTTAATAAAAATTTTTTGTAACGAAATTGTTTTTCTGTATCTTTTAAATTGTTTAAAAAAATGCCAGGGGGTGTAAGTGCACCCCCCTGCCGGCGCCCTTGTCAACATATCTGTCTAAATATTCGGGCATGTGCCCTTTTATTGATCAATCTGCTGTGCATGTGGTCCTTCACTCAAAAAGTTAATACACCCTACTGTAAGTAAAAATGCAACAGAAACATCCATTACAATTTCTAAATTTATAAAGTTTTTATAGTTTTTTTTTATTTTCTAAAGTTCTTATAAGTTTTTATTGAAAAGTAAGTCAACAGAGATAAGGCAAAAAATCTTAAATTTGTGAAGATTGGATTATAAATATATGGCATAAAAAAATAATCGTCTTAAGGACAAATTGCTTCAAGTTGTGGAGTTTTGAGAAAAGGGAACTTTTGGATGAGTATATATGATTCTGATAGATATGAGTCTGATAAATGAGCCTAATGGTATCGTAGTGATATGATCACTATCAATTTTAATTTTTTTAAACTAAGTCATTATTTTAGGTGGGGTAGCAAGTCTGGGAATTTCCTGTTAGCAATTAGAGTGTCGCTAGTAAGGGTTGGTGATAGACATTTTTTGATCCGGTATCTTTGGATACGTTTTGTGGGAGTATGAAGTCCCTGATTTCTCACCATTGGTTTCAATGTAGGGAAAGTGTTTAAAGATGGTTTGCCACTGGGTCAATGCTTGGAAGAATTCATTAGAAGTGGTAAAGAAGAGGAATTGGTCGATGGTTTTTGAAAATGTGGTTGTGAGATCTACATTTATTTATTATGTGTTTAGTGTTGATATTTGGTTAATGAAATCTATGTGAAATGTCTAAAGATAGAGATATAAAATGGTAATATCTATCTGAAATTTGATGAACGATTATAAATGTCTCATGTTGTTCAAAGAGCAGTTTTATTCCTTCTTAAAAACATACAGCGCAGACTCCATACTTCCAATTGGGTGTCGCTGGGGAGATAATTTTTTACTCCTTTACGGATTATGTTAAATATTAATGCGATACAATTTATTTTTAAAAATTGTTTCACTGTATGTTTTTTCTACTTATTTACTTTTATTAGAAGAAATAAAATGTTTACCTCAACTTTCTTTCATTTAAAGTGCTAGGTGATTAAATAAATATTTTTATTAATAAAACTGATTTATTTACAGAGATATATAAATTATTATTTATACAATTTTTACTTGCATATATTTTTGAGGGAAACTCAGTTAAAATTCAATCCTATATTTCAGAACTAGATTGGACATTTAATAGTGATGAGGTATGAATTTTTATAAAAATTGTTATGCTTATTTTAAACAGATCGTTAAGTTAATGAAGTCTTAATTTATTCTCTTCAATTGCAGTCATGGCAACATAACATCATATTTTCTGCATGAAAATAATCTAATCATATAAGATAATTGATCATTTGAAGGAATTTAGAAGCAAGAGTATAATTAAGAGATGTTAAATTGTTAGCACTGATTTCTATGTAAAATACTTAAACTTAACTCTGTAATAACGAAAACCTTTATTGCCATTCCACAAAATGTAATTATTAAGGGAAAAAATACTCAATAACTTCAATTTTTTTTTTTTTTTTTTTTTTTAATATTAAGAAAAGTTTGTTAGGGAAGAGAAAAGTTTGCAATAAAAGTTTAAAGAATTTTTTATAGCTTTCAGAATTTTCATATGATTTTCTGACATGTAATAAAAGCTATGCATGTTAGTCTTAGACAAAATATATACTTAATGTACTTTGCATTGTTTGTTGCTAACTGATTTGTAAAAATATTTTTTAACTTCAAACTTTGTTTTGAAATGTAAAATTTATACTGTAGGGAATTACAAAAACATTGTAAATTTTAGCCTCAGAGATCTTTTTTTCTTCTTATTATTTTATCTACATTAAAGATTTTCTTCGATTATTTTTATATATTTGTTTACATATAAGCTAAAAATAGGGAATAAAAAAGAAGAAATGTTTTTTTTGTTGATTACTCTTTGCGTTTTAAATTTCTCAGTCCAAAATATCAGAGTGACTCACATGGTATTTGTTTCTTATATTTGCAGAGCTATTCTCAACTAATACCATAAAAATGTTAAGTGATAAGTTAGGTTATATGTACAACCAAATTTCTTTAATATTTCTGTGCATAGTTGCAAGTTATCACTAAAATTTTATTAAAAAAATTATGTATGTATGGCAAAAAGTAATATTTATTTTTACTAAAGCTCTCAGCATGACAATGACTATGTTTTAATGTAAATATCTTCTTTCTCGCAAAATCTCTATAGCATAAACTTCTGCCTTTCATATGACTAAAAAATAGAGCTGATTGTCATATTTAATAGACGATTCACACTGTTTTAAGGAAGAAAAGAAGCCTAAAATTTTATCATAAAAGGTTTTAACATTTCGCTGCATATTTCAATATTTTCAGCGGGGTTGACATTTTTTCTCGAAGAAATCTATTTCTTCCAGAGCAGTGGAAGAGAGTGAAGAAATTTGTAGAAATGGAAGAAACTAGAGGAAATGGCATAAACTAAAATTGACCAATACAATTCTGTAATGATTGCTATTAAAAAAAACTGTACAAATTTAAGAAAAATTAAATTTAATATTGTACAAAAAAAATAAATTTAATTTTTTTAAAAAAATAACTATTTTCATGCCTTTTTAAAATTTTTTTATTTAATTTTAAAATTTATATAACTTGTTACATTAATTTATTGTGAATTTTGATTTATATTATCTAAATAAATATGTTCCTAAATAATTCCTATATTTTCCTAAATAAATGTATTCACGTATATCTAAATAAATATATACACTTGTATCTAGATTAATAATGAGTACTTATATAATTTTCAGTTTATTGAATATTTTATTTAAAGATCGGAAGTATTTAAGAAAAAATATTATTTTGTAAAATATTCATTAAAAAATTATTACTTTGTTAAAGTTTATTTAATTTGTTAAGTTTTTATTGCAAATTTTTAAGGTATATGTATTTTTTTAATTAATTTTAAATATTAATTTTGTTTCCAATAAATTTTCTTTAAAAAAAACCCTAATTTATTTAAAAGTAAAATGCAAACTAGTTTTCTTCCTAAATTAGTAATCTTAGTAAATCTGAAGAAAATACTTTAAAGCTATTAAAATGTGAAAAAAACCTTAGCTACAACATTTATGTTTTAAAACTTGCAAGTTTTTACTGTTTGAAATAAATAATTTTTAGATAAATTATTATCTTTAAAGCAAATTTGTGGACATCATTTTAGCTCAAATAATACAAAAAATATAAAGTTGCTTACCTCTTAATCAAATTTCTTAAAGTTTAAAAATTCTTGATTTGACTAGAAAAATTCAGAAATTTGTGAACAAAAATTAAGTTACAAATTCTTAAGTTTCTGTTATATATCATGATTGATTTATAATTTTATGACGAGGCATAAAAAATACAATTTTATTAAAAATATTTAATTATAAATACCTTTCCTTTAGCATACTATGTAACAATTATTTTACATATTCATACTTACCAGCATTTAGTTATTATACTTAGTATGCTGTTAATAATTATGAATACAGTGTGCGATTTATAGTCTAATACAATAATACATAATTTGATGACAGCATTTTAAAAGTTCTTTATGCAATTTTTAAATATTATACTTTTATGTAAAACAGTGGAGGAAATTACAGTTGTTTTAATTTCTTAATAAATTAATTAAATTTATTTTTCTTTTCAATTTTTGCTTTATTATTTTCACTTACTTAAAAATAATTAATTAAATGCCTTGAAATAATATTATTTAAACTGGATTGCATTTAAAAACTGTTTAAAATTTTATTTATTATTGCAGTTTTTTTCCACATATATAATTTAGGTTGGAAGAAACCTATTTCTTCCAGAGCTGTTTTTTCTGTGTTTTTTCCACTATGAAAGTTGATAACCCTGATTTTCAGTCAAAATTGTCTATAATTTTGTTATATTTTAATAATTAATGATGTTTTTTTTAATCAATACTACATCAATCAAGCTACTCTAAATTCATTCTGCAATAAATTGCATTCTGATGTCTCATTTTTTTTATATCACAAGATTTCAATTGTTTATTTTTCTTTGCTTATTTATATTTTTTAAATTAAGATTCAACATTTAGAAATTGAAGTGCTGGATATTTAAACTTTACATTTCATCATGAACTTTAAACAGTTCTGAGATACTCATTTTTTATTTACTCCTTTACTTTAAAGGCCCATTTAATATGCTTTCCAGGTATTTTATATTATCAGTTTAATGAAATGATATGTAGACTAATGGAGCGTTTATATGAATTAAAGTTCTATAAATGTGTTACTCTACCTATAAAAAGTGTCAAATTTAGGAAGCGATCTCGTATAAAAAATAAAAATGGATGATCTGCTGTAAAAAGAGGCACTAGTGGGCCTCCAGTTCGAACTCCTGCTGATACACCGGTAACCACAGTTGCTTCACCACCTTCTTCATCCACTTGAATTGCACATTTATGAAGTACTTTGGAAACATAAAGAGATTCTGTTGAGCTTATGCCTCCAAGGTCAACAGATGAAGCATTAAAAAGTGTTTGAATACCAAGATTTTTTAGAATCGGTATAAGATTATATTCTGCTGTGTAACTAAACCTAGGAAGAGTCACTTGAATTGGTAAGCTTCGAAGATTAGAAGAAATATTTGTTATAACTTCTTCTGAAAGTAATTTTTCCATATCTGCTAAGCCATCTCTTTTCTCTGGCAAAAGTAGGAGCATATATATACGATCTCCAGAATAAGGCAACTCCAAAGCTTCTCCTTGTATTTTGCTATTGAATCCATAACGTAACTTTCTTTTTTGCCTCATCATAGCAACAGTTTTTGGAATACGGCCATCATTGTAAAATGTATCTGGGGTTGTTAATCTCTGATCGAATTTTAATTTCCATGTTCCTTTAAAATACACAACATTCATAAGAAATAATTTAGTTAAAGGTTCCAGGGGTTTGTCCAATAATTTTGGAATCTTATTCCTGGTTTTCCACGCGACCCAACCATTTACAGATTCAACTGCTGCTTCAGGATGTAATGAAAAACTTACACTTTCAACAGCAGCATCAAAATATGTTCTACTTTGTTCTTTGTATGAAGATAAAATATTGAATGATTTATCTACAAGCATGGCGTTTGCCATTTCCAGTTGATAAGGTTGAAATGTTTTTACTGGTTTTTCTTTTGAAATTTGAATTATATCCAATAAGATTTTGAAGCGTTCTGCCACTTCAGGTGGATAGTTTAGGGCTCTCTGAATTTCAGTAGCTGTAGCATTTTTTGAGCCAGAATAAACTAATCCCATTAACATAGATATACTAATAGGTGAAAAAAATGTATTTCCTTGTTCTTGAGATAAAGTTTTGATAATTTTAAAACCAAGTTCATTTCCAGCTTGTACAATCTCTTGTAAATCATCTTCCTCTCTAGAATATTTTACTCTTCCATTAGCAGTTGCTATTGCTAAACTCAATGCTACATATATTACGAAACTTTTCATTTTGGAAACCTGAAAGGAAAGATAAATGAACTTTATTAATTTTACAGTAGAATATTTACAAAAATAAATGTATTTTATTATAAATTGATATGATTAAAAAAATATATTTTTTTGTAAGTATAATTATGTTTTTTTTATTATCAGGTAGCGACCGATAGTCAATAACTTTTCTGTTTTTTTTAATAAAAGAAATATAGTAGTAAAGTTATTTGATTGAAAAAAAACAAAACAGAAGATGAGTTTTAAAGATCTTCGTCAGACAGAAGAGAAATTCTACTTTCTTCTAACCGACAGAGAATTATTTTAACAAAATTTTCTTATTTAAGTAACCAATTAATATTTTACGATATTTTTTTGTTTAATTTTTAGAGAAATGTGAAAGTTTTTAAATTTTTTATGATAATTTGGAAAAATTCTGAGAAATACTTTCACTAAAAAAACCCAACAATTTAAAAAAAAAGATAACTTTCCCCCAAGAAACATTAGATATTTTCAATTAAAATATTTATAATTGTTGAATTTGACATTTTTATCTTTGTCTAAAAAAAAAGCCACAATATTAATCTGCAGTATTGCTTTTTTTTCTTTTCTTTAATATAAGGTAAACTATTAATTATAAGGATTCATAATGCAACTTTAAATAAAAATAGAGTTTTAGATTAAAAAACTTTATTTTTTTGTCATTACCTGCAACTACTTTACAAAAGTAGTTAATTACAGTCATTTTTATTAAATGCAATGATTAAAAACTGCAAAATGTAGTAACTACTTAACTACATTTAAGACATGAATTTTGTTGGAGGATGTAATTTGTAATCATGTTTAAAATTAAAAAAAGTTGGTTATTGAATTAAAAACTTTGTTTAGAATAAAAAATTTATTTTTTACAATTTTTCCCCCAACTTCTTATAGCTTTCTTGATAGAGAATATTAAATTTGAAGACATGCTATGAAATTAAATATTTGTGACTTTGTTAAGTGCTTTAAAACTTAACTGAAAAAAACTAAGTGAAGTTCATCAGGGTAATTCTCATTACATCTACTGATAGACTCACAAAAAAGCTATACCAGATTTGAAAAATTAGTTGATATTAAATCTTGTTTTGTTTCTAAAATAAGGGAATCGCCACAAACTAAACTTTAAAAAAGTAGAGCATTAATCTATAAACTAAAAAAAAGTTGTGACTGCAGTAGCTTTGTTACTTGTAGCACCTTAGTTCTCGCCATAGCCTTTGTTTTTATAATAAGATTCCTATTAATCCTAAAACAATTTTTTAAGTGGGTATCAACTTCAAAAGGATTTCTCCAAATTTAAAGGAAAAAACAGTTAAATTTTTATACTAAATATGTAAGTGGCAAGCAATTTTTGTTTATTTAATCCTGTGATCAATTCTGATTATAACTTTGTTAAATAGGCTATAATTTTTAACTATTTCAAATGTTTTTGGCGCGTTTCATATAAGTTAAACGAATTACACACACACTGCGGTTTATCAGTCTGGGTAGCCCAGTGATAATATGCTTCAACTTGGAAGCCTGTGAACTTTGTTAGATAGCAATAAACTGTTTAAAAAACTAAAAAACATGTATTATGTGTTTTAATTTCGTTTTTTTCTTTACTTAATTCGAATTTGTTTTAAGTATAACTTTAAAACTAAGAAGGCTTAACTATTTTTTATTTTATTCGAAGTGAAAGGGCTGAAAACGTGTAATTTTACTCATTGCAAATTTTTAATTTTATCAAACAATGAAGGTACATATAAAGTCAATCTTAGTTAATAAGAGAACACTGAGAACTCTATTTCCAGAGAGCTATGGAATTATTTTCCCATGTCCTGAACTAGTTCCAATGTCATGATATTGAAATGAGTTGATTATAATGCAATGTATAGATTTTATATGAGGGAAAAAAATTAACTTTGTAGATAGACACAGTCTACATTGTCTACAATAAAAAATATACAAAGTGTAACAGGAAAGTTAATTTTCTATAACCGATAAAAAGGAAAAGAAAAAAATTATCAAAAAGAATTTATTGCAAAAGATATATTAGCTTTTTCTTAACATAAAAACCATCAAAATTCTAACCTTGGTCATATTGTTGGTCTATTATTATAGAAGTCTGCACGCTTGATAGGAAGTCAGTGTGCTGAATGTTTTTGTCTGTGGAGGCTTGATGCCAAGAAAGGAATTTCTTCTGGCAAAAAATCAGGTAGAGCAAGATCAAGATTCTGAAGTGCAGGGTCAAACACTTTCCACTGACTTTTCCACTACAGATTTTTTGTGAAATTTTCCTTTTGCAAGTCGCCTATGGAACAACATAATACCAGCACTGAGCATTCCATTTTTCGTATTCTAATTGGTTTATCACAAGTTCTCTATTGTGATGTAGTAACAATTAGTGCTGCAAGAAGTTAATGAGCAGAATTTCTTTCCTTTTCCAAAAGACCATGCTTGTTAAATTCCATGGGGATAGAGTCTACCTAAATTTAGTCTGTTATTCCATTACATTGACTGTTGCTAGGATTCTAGGCCTGAAGTGAGATACCCATTTCTCATCAATGTGAAGAAAGTTGTAACACCCTGGCTCTATTCCTAGGAAGCAGACTTCTTTAAAACTAGACAGCAAAAACTTATCCCATACTATACAAATGTTACAATTCCGGTGGTTTTTATGTTGAGAGGTAGATGAAATGTCATTGTATCTTTAGTTATAAATTTTTCCACATAATTATGTTTGGTTTCTTTTTTTTGAGCTGTAAGAAACTTTCTGAATATTATTTGGGTAAGTAAAAAAAAACAGAAGCAAAAAATGAACATATGTTGAAACAAATTAGGGGCAAGCTCAATTTTTATCAGTTGCTTGAACTTATAAGTACAGTAAGTCTCTGCTCCTTTCCCATATGCTTCCTCCCCACCCCTTTTAAACACCCATTGTGACAGCCATTTTTTATCCTTCATATCTTTATCACTAATAATACTAAAGTTATAAACTTTAAGCTGTTTTCATCCTTAAAATCTATTCTTTAAGAAAGCCAACTAAAGTTTTTCTGTAAATAGTTTTGCTGGAATTCACCTAAATAGGCAAAAAATTGGATTTATGTTATGTGATTTGGGATGTTTTAAAATATTTCTTTTTATACTTTGTTAAAACACCTTTGCTGGATAAACAATTGAAAAAAAGTGTTTTGTTCTATGAGGTTATTTTAAAAAAAAGTTGAAAATGTACCCCTTCCCCGCAATGGCATTTGTTTTATAGATTTTGGTCATAGTCTATAAATTTGATATGATGAATTTCATTCTTATCAAATAATTATTGGTATATTCTTTATTGCAGAATCCCTCATCTTAATGATAAACATCCAGTGAAATTTTCATCATTTCTCCAGAGCAAAATCCATTAATAAATTCAACATGTCTCTTATTGTATGATACAACAATCAAAACTTGAAGCTTCCATACAGCTTTTTTAAAGTAAATAAAATATTTAATATTCTACAAAAGTATGTCTTTAAATTTCAAGTTAGATAATTTTCTTTCATTCTTTTCTCGAAGTACATGCTTGCTTGTTACACACTTGCCGATTGTTTGTCTTATTTCCAATGTTTATCTTTAGTATTATATTTTTTATTTTTAATAATTGAATTCCCTTGGTGTCCTTTCTCCACCAAAATTGAGAATACTATTACAATCATAGTTGAATATAATTAATTCACAATATTTCTTCACATTAAATTGGCTATTGATACATACTAAACTAATGACATCAAATGTTTCTATGAAATAAAAAAGCTTTTTCACTAGTTCTTCATTAGTTGAATAGTTTAATCAGCTTCCAAGTTGATTGTCTCTCTAGCACAAATTCAGCATCACAAGCATAAATATGGTTTTAAAATACATTTTTAGATTTTTCCATCTATTGCAATTTCATTTATTTATAGACTCACATATAGCTAAATCTGGATGATCGTCTAGAAAATGTATGATATGCATTCTGTTTTAGTTTTATATGACTCTCGCAAATATTTCAGTTTATCTTTGAAATCTGCAGCTATAATTATAACTTTTAATCAAAACATTTAAGTTCCATGGCTGTACCTGAATTTACACTTTTGTTCTGTTTGTGTAAATGTAATTCAATGAAATTTCTTTATTGTTCTTACAAATCATTGTAATTCCTACTTCATAAGCCGAATCATAATTTATTAATTACCTCAGATGACAATTCTAAAAGTTCTTCAAAATGTTTCTTTTTTAACCAATAATACTATGAAATACTATAATACTATGATTTATATGAACATAATGAGTAGATTTTTATTTTTAAAACCCAGCTGTGCTAAATGCAGGAGTGGATTTGAGAGAAAGGGATTTTCAGTGAGGAATGGGAATTTAAAGCATTTAATGCATCAATTCAGCTTGTGGAATCTCTTAAAACTTGTGTTGTCCTGATACCACTAACCAAAATATTTCAGGTGCATAGTATCATGTTCTCTTTCTTTGCAAAGATAAAGAAAGATGAAAGGAGAAAGATTTATTCTTTAGTAGTCAACAGATTAATATTTTTAGTTATAGATAGGGCAAAAAAATTTACATTCTTTAAAAATTGTGGAGACTTGTATATTTTGTTTTTGTTGGAAATCAAAGCAAAAAAAATTTTTTCCCTTCAAATTGTGAAAAATTAGTGTCCGGTTTGAAGAGATAGAAAATATAATTTTTGGAGCATAAATGACTGTCCGCATCCGTTTATGGGAGTGTCTGCTTTGTGGAGATGGTACATAATAGTTTATTCTTAAATGATTAATAGGGAATTAAAAATTTGTCTAAAATGAGAGGCATCTTTTTAATAATAATATCCGTAAGGTGAGGTTTCACTGTATATAATGATGGAAATATTACCTGAATATTGTTTTTTTTTTATTTATAATTTAATATAATTTCACTTTTAAATTTGTATTTTTTTTATAGGTTAAATATCTTGAATGGTGTGAAGGTCAAGATCTCATTTA